TGTGCACAATCGTGCCCTCATTCACCAACATATATATGTAACAGGGTGGCTTATTTATATCATCGATCTAAAGTTATCTTTCATTCATACAGACTCACAGATCTTTTCCATATTTTACTATCATGGAAAGCAAACAATTAATAGTTTTTTTTTCTTTTTTTTTTTATTTTTTATTCCTCAGTGCTTTACTAAACTGCTGTTGTGACATTTTCCGTATTCTAGATAATTCATTATTCTAGACATTTATCGGTTACCTTGTATCAAAAATCAGATCCTAAATTTTAGTTATGAGTTTCTGTAAATGCAATCAGAAAACAACAAAGTAATCTGATGTTACTTTGTGTACTGATGCAGACGTGAACCCACAGATCAAAGCAGGGACGGAAAAGAAAAACTTGAAAACAGGGGATAACAAGATTCCTTGGAGCCTAAGCTTTATTAGATTGAAAAAATCTTGTTCTGGAATATAATTACAAAGTAACCTAGGTCCTAATTTATACTAAACACAAAGGAAACCCGTCTAATTCAAATACCACATAAAAGGCAAGTTTCCTAAGACGACTCGTTGTGGGTAACGGCCAGTGCCGTTTTGTGACGTGACCAGCCTTTAACGGCGTTACCACAGGGGAACACCCCCCCCCCCTTCCCGTTATGTGGTCTTCAGTAGCCATGACAACAAGCTGCAACCCCATTTTCCCTTTGATTTTTGTCTTTCTTCCTCAACTTTTTCTTCACCACAACCCATTTCTTAATGGAACACCACCCCAAAAAAAGTGGTGGAGATTAAGAAGCTTTTTGTTGCTTACTTGGTCTCACCACCCGGTTTCCCACGCCGAGTGGTCTTAAAAAATTCCTAAAATACCTGTGGAGTTAAACATGGCCTAGATTGTGAATTATCCAACATTTTCCCTTCTAATTAAGAATCTTGGACAACTTCATTCTTAGCAACTTCTTCATCTCTTCAAACTTGACTTTTCCTATTGATTTACTTAACATTTCCTTCTTTTCAATGGTATGCACTTTGACATAAACTAGACCAAAACATTATGCACCTTTAATATACCTGAATATACGGTATGACAGTAGGATGCTCCATATAGCGACTCATCAGCCTTATGACATGAAACCTTATGCTTGTTTTTAGCAAAATCAAAAAATTCGACACTTTCATAATAATTTTTTATTATCATGCCACCAAACTTTTGTTGGGTTTCTTAGATTACAAAAAATTATGCTCAATGTGGAAAATCACTTAACAATTAAGAATTTGGCACATGCAACCTAATAGGATCTATGTCTTTCACATTAAGGCAACATACTTTGAATCACAAACTAGCAGAACCCTAATGAAATCGAAATTCACAAGGTTGAGATCACATACCTTCTGATTTGTTATAGCAAACAAATCAAACAATCCTTGAAGTTGTAGATCTTAGAAAGCCTAGCACCAAAGAAATGATGCCTCTAATGGTTTGTACTCAAAGCCTATCAACAAGAACACAAGAGAGGAGAGCGGATGTGGGAGCAGAATATCGACTCTTTTATGAGGTATGCAGTAGACGAATATTCCAGGTGATTATCCGGTTACCATATATCAAGGATAAATATTCCAGATGCCCATAAGGCATCTCCAAAACCGTCCACATCTGTGGAAGGTTCTGGAATTCATTTTTGTTCAACTATTGAACAATTATATTCCAGTCATTCCACTTTTAATTAATCCAATTGTTCCCATAATTGATTCTAATTAATTTCTAATCAATTATTAATTAATATTTCTATTTCAGATTAATATATTAATTCTATAATATATTAACAAATTATTTATTGTTATTTATTAATCCTATATTAAATCAATCTCTCTCTCTTTCTCTCTCTCTCTCTCTCTTCAGATGTTATTCCTTTTAGTTGTTAGTTATGAGGGAAATCTAAAAAGGATTTTGCTTCTAATTCAAGAATATACCAATTTAGTTATTGACTTAGACACCTTAATCCAACAGTCTCCCACTTGGATAAGTCTGTAACTACAATTGCATGTATAGACCTTGAAGTATACAGCAAAATGTGTTTTCCAAAGTCACTGCCGAACTCTGACTGAAATCAATCGTTGTCCCTAAGATAAATGATCTGCTATTCCTTCTTTCCTAAATATATCGTATAGAAATGAGACATGGATCAGGGTCCATCTCTTGTCCAAGATTCTGTTTTTCGATTTCCCGATTTGTAAAGACCTTGTGAGGCCTTAATTGAACACATCAATTAGTCTTGGTTGGGCCCAACACTATAAATTCAACATCAAATCATCAAGGGACCCAATGATATCGCTTTTCTGGTTAGGGCAAAAGGAATGAATAAACCTTGACTATGTAAAAGTAAAATTTACTCACCAAATCAAGCATGACACTATGTTTTATAACACTATGTTACTGATGCGTTTACATTACACCAATGCACAACTAGTTTGCAAATTACAACTTATGTATCTCCTTCTAAAAGAATAGAAGATATTATCGTCTTAGAATTACTCGTGATAGAATCCATGAAGCAATTTATACGCGTGAGTTTATCTAATACTTAAAATCCCTATTTTCAAAGTACTCATGAATATGGTAAAAATTCTGATTGCAATGTCTTAACCTCAAAAGACAATCTACAATCAGTTCATGACAGTCTTATTTCACAACTTACTTCCAAAAGGTATGATTGACTGTGGAAGTTTAAATAATTCAAATTACTCATGAAGTAAAGCATGCAAAATGAAACACAAGAATAAATAATTTAACAAGGTAGTGTAATACTCATAAATAATTCCTTATTATTCATTCACCAAAGTCAATTACATTTATTTTGCTACAAGTTCCATATTATCATGTAACTACTAAAAATAATATCGTCTCTTAAGCCAATGCTCTTAGCATGCTGGTAGTGTTTAAATCTACTCAGAGCCTTTGTAAAAGGATCTACAACATTCTCTCACCATAAGGTGTCCTTCCTCTACCCGATGTCGAATATAGTGGTACTTTATGTCGATGTGTTTGGATCTACCATAATGTTTCGGTTCTTCTGTCAAAGCAACCGGTCCTTCATTATCACAAAAAAGTTCCAATGGTTATTGAATACTAGGAACGACTACGAGATCTCCGATAAAGTTCTTTAGCCAAGCCGCCTCCTTAGATACTTTAGTTACTACGATGTACTCTGATTCACAAATAGAATCCGCCATCGTATCTTGCTTGGAACTAATCTAAGTAACTGTGCCACCATTCAACAAAAAAACCCAGCCAAATTGCAAAAAAAATTGTCTCGGTCTATTTGAAAGTTGGTATCACTATATCCACTTACTCTTAGTATATCACTGCCGCCAAGAACTAGTAACATGTCTTTTGTTCTTCGTAGATACTTGAGTATGTTCTTCACTGCTATCCAGTGGGCTCTACTAGGATTACCGTGAAACCGGCTAACCATGCTAAAAGCTTAAGCCGCGTCAGGGCGAGTACATGTCATTGCATACATGATCGATCCTACAGCCGAAACATATGACACTCGACTCATTTCAGCAATTTCTTCATCGGTACTGCGAATTTGAGTCTTACTCAATTTAATATTACTATGAATAGGTAACTCTCCTTTCTTGGAAGTTTTTATACTAAAACATTTTAGTATTTTATCCAAGTATATACTCAGACTAAGTCCAATGAGACATTCGTTTCTATTCCTATTTATCCTTATTCCCAGAATATAGGTTGTTCCCCTAGATCCTTCATGGCGAAACATTTCCTAAGACAAGATTTAACTTCTTGCAAGGTTGGAACATTGTTTCCCATGAGGAGTATGTCATCGACATACAAGACTAAAAAATTAATTATACTCCCACCGGCTTTGCCATATACATAGGACTCATCTTCGCTTCGAGAGAACACAAACTCTTTGACTTTCTCATGGAAGTAAAGATTCCAGCTGCGAGATGCTTGCTTCAATCCATAAATGGATTTCTCAAGCTTACACACCCTATTAGGAAAATTGTCATGTACAAAACCATCTAGTTGACTCATATAGACGTCCTCCGATAGCTTCCCATTAAGGAAAGCGGTTTTAACATCCATTTGCAAAATTTCATAATCATGAAATGCAACTATAGCAAGCATGATCCTAATAGATTTTATCTTAGCTACTGTAGATAAGGTCTCTTCATATTCAATCCCTTGGATTTAAGTAAAGCCCTTCGTAACCAACCTAGCTTTATAGGTGTGTACTTTCCCATCCATGTCGATCTTCTTTGTGAAGATTCATTTGCACCCGACTGTCTTTTGACCAGGTACATGATCAACCAGGTTCCGTACTTGGTTATCATACACGGATTGAATCTCACTGTCAATCGCCTCCTTCTATTTAGCAGCCTCAGGGCCTCCCATTCCTTCCTTGTAGTTAGCAGGCTCATCGAAATTTACCAGTTTGCGATCACTGACAAACGTGTCCCCATATGTAGTAATATGGAAACCATAGAACTCAGGTGGCATGCTAACCCCACTGGAACGACGAAGACGTAATGAGTTGTCGACTGGCTTAACTAGAGTTTCCTCCTCATTTTGAGTGCTAGTGCCAGATGAGGTTCTTTCATTGGATAAATCTTGAATTTCTTCAAGATCAATAGTCCTCCTACTATCCTTTTGAATATGAACCCTCTCTCGCAAAAGACTCATATTCGAGCTATAAAGAGCATGTTCTCACTAGGTCAGTAGAACAAGTATCCAAAGGACTATTGTGGGTAGCCAATGAAATATCATTTCTCGGCTCTGGGTTCAAATTTGTCACGAGTCTCTCATCTTACGAGCACTTCACAACCCCAGAACTTAATATGTGCGAGCGAAGAAGGTTTCCATGTCTACATTTCGTGAGGTGTTTTGGCAACCTTCTTGGTTGGAACAAGATTCACGATATGATCAGTTGTTTCTAATGCATACCCCCAGAAATAAATATGAAGAGAAGACTGACTCATCATG